GTGGGGTGTGACTAGGGTAACTTTTCTGCAGCGCTTGTGAAATTGTGATGCAGCCTAGCAATAGTACCTGGCTGTAGTGTTTCTTTGCCCACTTGATGCTTGCTGCCATAAAGCTGAATGTACTGCAAGCACGCTTGTAGGTGAGGTATGTGCTGATATGTGCATGCAAAGCTCAGTTGATTTAAATCAGTTGATCATCTTCCATTGCAATAGGTTTGTTTTACTGTAGAAACTCACTCACCAGTGTGAGTACATGTGTGAGCTTAGGCAGTGTGTTTTTCTGTGCTTAGACCTCTTGTGGCTTTCAATAATACAGGGTGTTTGCCATGAAGTAATAACAGCAACCGTAAGACAGCTATTAGAAATTAAGTCCTTCTCACACCTATGGTTTACTTTCATGTCATCCCTGCCCTGTAGGACCGAAATGATTTCGTGACTCAACTAACTGTGCACCAATATGCTCACAGAGAAATCTATGCTTATGGTTAGTCTTGAGTTGTACAACTTTAATGAGATCTTTACTGGTGCTAAATGCAGCAAGCTTTTGCAGAGATGGAGAGATTTATGCAACATAGAACTTTTCTTTCTAATTACCACTTTCTCAGAAACTGAGCCATTTTATAGACAAGCTCTCTGTTGGGGTAAATGGCAGTAAATCTGTTTGCCCCAAAGGAAAGCTGATTTTATAAAACCTGTCACCCAGAAACTTTGAAGGTCCCTTTATGAATAAGATGGTGCCTGTCTTCCTCAGTCTTTTAGGGGACAAAAGTTCTCTTCTCACAAACTGTCATCACAGCTGGGAACTAATTTATTTCCTTAGCTGTTTGAAAACTAGTTCTTTTGACAAATAAAAAGAAATGCTAGATATTAAAGGAGTCTTCCATCTGAGAAGTATATTATTCATTAATTGCTGGAGGGCAAAGCTAAAAAATTTCAAGCAGGAAAGCAGGTATGCATTTATTTTATCTTTAGATCTACCTCAAGGCTAAAACTAGCTCTACTACCAGTGTTTTCCAACAGTCTCATTTTGGCAGCGGGGATTGTACCCACGGAGTCCCTCTGGAGAGGACCAACAGTCTTTTAAAGGACTTTTGGTCTCTTCCACGGTGAAGGAAAATGTCTGTTATTCCTATTCCAGGAGGATCTGTGGGAAAACCCCTACTTTTCGATTAGAAAAATCTTTCTAAAATACATGCTAACAAAAATTGCAGTTTAAATACATCACGATAGGGGAAATTTACTTGCCTTCTAGAATATAAGCTACTGTTTCTTTTTTTTTTCTGCAATAAAAAGAGTGGAGGAACGACTTGGGTTCATTTCTGAAGAAGAAAGAACAAAAGTAAAGATCAGATTTCCATATAATCTCAGAATCTGATCTTATTTTAATTTCAAATGCCTCATTATTTTAATTTCAAATGCCTCAAGTATCAGAGGCTATCTTGTCCTTCACATCAAATTGGGAATGACTATAAACATAGAGCAGTAATTCAGCAGCGTAACTCCAAATGTTGCGATAGCACAATGAGAGTTCACCATGCTGCTACATCCTGAACAGCAATGCACAGTAATTAAGCATTTGGGTGAAAGAGGGGGCAGGGCAGAGCGCTATCTTCTCTTCACCTCCAGCCCTTTGGTTGAAGGCACAGTGCAAGCAACTAATACCAAACTGTGGAGCTTACCTCCAAAGTCGCAACCTCAGGTTACTGTTCTCATTCAAATGTGGAGTGCAAATGCTTTTTTTTTTTTTTTTCTTTCATACATTTCTGGTTGAATGCATTTCTTGATATAACTGCAGATATTTTTTATCTGTTTATTCACATCTTGATGTATGAGACTACATAGTCTTGCTAATGTTCTTTCTGATGTGTTTGTTGTGTGTAAAACCAAGGTAACTGTTTTAAAAATATACTATCAGCTCTTTAATCTCCATCTGTGTGTCAAACAAGTAATAACATTTACCTTTTAGCACGGAATGAGTTTTGTTTTTTTGTTTTTTTGTTTTTCCACTGAGCCAGAACAGCACTTGATTCATTGTGAGGATTTTCTCTGCATCCTTTTTTGTTGTTGTTAGATTTCAGTGAAGACCTAAAGCTTTTTAGATGATGAATCCGAATGTGTAATTCTGAGGCTTTTTTGGAGGAAACAAATGGAGGCATTCAGAGGCATTCAGCATCCATCATAAATATATTCCCAGCTCTGCCTTTGGTGCAGGATTCTTCTCTGGTCTCTTTTTTGGTTCTTTCTGTTTGAACCCTGAATGTGTTTGAAGTGGGTGAATATCTACTTGTCTGATGCCCTGAATTTTTGTGTGAGGAACAGAACTGCAGCATGATGTATCCACACAGCTGTGGAAACCACAGTGCGCACAAAGCCCATTTCAGCCAGTACTGATCAGCCTAACAGGTAAAGATGTGGGTTTTGTTGGGGGGATTCTTTTGTTTCATTTTTGTTAAGCAATGGTGGTGACAAGTAGTGCTTCAGTGCTTTAAGGTAACACGGTACTTTTCTGGATCTTTGTAGGTAGTTGCTCCCAAGGGTAAGGGGGAATTATGGCAGAAGGCATACATGTGGTTATCTGAAAATCTGTGAGAGCTAGGGGTGGTTGGCATCCTCAGCTGATCAAAGAGAAAGGCAACTCTTTTGTGGTGAATGAGAGAAGCCTATGGAGATGAGCCATAAAGGCGTTTCTTACGTATGTTCCCTTTCCTAAATACTCTGTGCAGTGCTTTCAGGGTACTGTTCTTATTCTGAATACATGGAATGCTACTGTGCATCCTATTATGAGTGCTACCAAAAATTCCTAGGTGGAATTTCTTCTTTTGCCCTTGCCAGTAAAGTATAACGCTTAGATTCCGGCTCCTCTGCATGCACAGTGGAAGGTAGAATTGCTCACATTGGTGGTATCTAGCACTCTTATACTATATATCACTTCAGGAGAGAAAGAAAATTGTCCATTTTCACAATCTACTGTTGCTACCTTTTCTGCCCCTTTTTTAATCTAGGCCCAGAAAGGCTCAATAAACTTGTCTTAGCTTCCTGTTCGGAGCTGCTCAGGTGTGTGCACATGGTACGGCTGAAATCTGGCATGGAAAAGCTATGTGGGTCCTGCACTGAGCTCCCAAAGATTGGGAACAGCTTATTCCTTCACGGTCTGAGCCATTCCTCAGCTGTCATATGCTTGTTCCTTAGTTTGATTCACCAACTGGGAAGCACTGATGTGTGTAGCTGGGGGCACCTCCTGGTTAAATGAGACTGTAACTTTGAAAGCAAGATGCAGAGAATGATGAGGAAACAGATGACCAAAAAGCTGTAACTGGAAAGCCAGCTGGTAGATGAAATGCACATATCCTTTTTGTGCACATTAATGTGGAAGTGCCTCTTTCACCTTCAGGTTAGTACAGCCATTGCCTCCAAAGAAACAAACCTTAATGTGGGGATTAAACTGATTATGGCTGAGGTAGCTCATGCTCTGTATCAGGGCAGGATTAAAGATGACTGAACAGTACCCAAACTACTAGAGTGGATTTCAAGGGTATGCCCCTTGCCTGTTCTGGATAGGCTGGAGCTGAAGCTGCCATGTTTAAATGCAGCTCCTGAGCCATCTGACGTGAAAGCCCCAGGCTTCTTGCAGCTCCTTCTCACAACTTAGCTGTTTCTATAGGACGCTGTTTCTATGACCCACGGTTACCCAGCTGCACCATACTGGAGCTGGCCTTGGGCATAGGCAGCCAAACCCTCCAGTGGAAAGAGAGATTGCAGAGCCTGGTGCACTCAGGACCTTGACACCCAGTATTATAGTTTAGACAGATATTGGTGGCATTGACAAGCAGCATGTGAAGTGAATAAACATGATTTTATACAGTCTAAATCATTTGTCTTCACTGTTGGACACTATTACATTTTCTGAACCCTAGGCCATTAGGACCCCACTGGCCTTTCAGTGTTGAGAGGGGATCTGCTGGGAGACCCTCTTTCATAGCTGATCAGATCATAACTTGTACATTGGTTTTATCCAATCCTTCTGGACTTCTTCCAACTTCGATATGCCTTGTGAATGGTCCTTGGTGGCTGTGCCTTGGCTTGTGCCTTGCTAGGTCTGTGGTCCCTATGGGAGAGAGGCCCAGAGCAGCCATGTGGATCTGCAGTCTCCTCCAAAATGACCTCCTGTCCTCTTTCTTACATGTTGGGAAGAAGCGCACTTTGGTGTACAGTCTCTGAGTAGGTTCAGCTGTGAGCTTCTCATCAAAAGATTTCTCATTTAAAAAATGAAGTTCTGCCTAAACTATTTTTAAGAGAGCCTGAATCCAGAGAAAATATCGTCAGTCTGCATCAAACACCAAAAAGCCCCAAACAAGCAACTGGCAAGTCTCAATATGTAGTTGCAAACTTCTAGATTGGGGTTTGCTAGTTTCCTAAAAAAACCTTAATATTTCCTTAGGCACCCTCTGCTACTTTCCCCTGCCCTGCCAAATAAAATCCCACCCTTCACTTATCCCCCTCTCTCTTTCTGTCCAGCAGCTCTCTGCTGCGAGTTTCCCCTGTGACCTCATGCCAACAAAATTTAGGAAGCAGCCACCTGCCTGGTCCCTTTTTCTGAACAGCTTTCCAGTTCTGAGGGAATGCGGGCTAATGCATTGATATTACAGGTCCTGCAGCAAGCTTTCTTGCTTGATTTCCACCCTCGCCCCCCGCCATGGAGCTGCTGCTTAGTGCCCTGTCCTGATGCGAATATGCTCTCTAACCATGGGTACAAAATAAACAACAGGTGCGTGTTCCCATGGCCTCCAGCTTCAGTAGCTCCTGGAGTGTAGTCTGACTTGGCCCTTGCTCCAACAGCAAGGAGCATGAAGGCTCACGCAGTCCTCCTAACAAAATGCATGCCAAGAAAACTTGTTTTTGCTTCTCAAGTGGATCTCTTGCTCAGCTAAATAGGAGGAACTTGTCGCTGTGTTTTCATCAGTTAGCAGCACTACTTGCTGTGCCAGTTCAGCCTGGCATGTGTGCTCCCGGATGATTAGCTGCTGGGAGTTGGAGAGCCGTCTTCACAGCACTGAGTTTCCTGTGCTGAGAGCCTGGGAAAGCACTGTGGAAATAGATACAGTGACTATGACTTCTGTTTGTCACTTCTCGCACAGCTGGGTGAAGATAAGTTTTACATTAGATGTTGGAGAACAGGAGGAAATACGTTATTCCTCTAGTACTGAGGGTATTATCGCTGTGGCCCCAGCCTTTCCCCAAACAGCTAATACCTTTTCCTTAAAGGGTGGTTTTCTATCAAGGCCTAAACATGTCCTGTCTCCCATGCTAGCATGGGAGAGATTACAAATAACAAGGTAAAGAAAGTATCTGTTCTTTATTCACCTTTATACACAAGAAGAGCACCTAAAATTGGCTAGCTGTGTCTTCCCCTGCAACCTGCACTGGAGTTTCTCTCCCACCACAGAGGAGTACTGCCTTTAGCATCTGCACTCATATTGGAGCGTCATCAGCGTTTTAAGGGAAGAGGAAGCAGACACGGCTGCTTATGCAAAGATGTCCTAGGCTGCCCTGGCCATTCCTTCCCTCCTCTATCCTATGGCAATCTTGTGGTAAATCAGACCATGAAGCTGGTTTGTTTCAGCCTGCCATGTTCCCTAACTCCATTCAGAGAGCAACCACGCAAACTTGTGCAAACTTGAGGAATGGGATAGCATGGAGGTGGGAATAACATGCTGTCAGTAGGGTAGGTAGTAGGAACTTTGGTGCCACTTTTTTATGGCACAAAACACCCAAGGAGTAACAGCATTTTATTATGCATGTATCCTATTGATACAACAAAATGTACACTAAGACAGCAGGCTGAGATAGCTCTCACTTTAATCTCTAGCTACTGCACTGCCTTTTCCCTTTGAATCCCTTCCTTGGCTTAAAATGAGGACCTCGGCAAACAACCCCCCAAAATACCCAGCAGGGCAGGCTTATTTTTCCCAGTGCTCTGCCCATTCGGTCATTCTAGCACACAGGTTACTTCTTCAGGGACGTGGAGGGTAGAAGCAAGGAGATGCACACTCATAAAGGCTTCTAAAGCAATCTATTCTTATTCTACCTGGAATAGGTAGATTGAGGGAAAGAATAAATGTGCCCTTTTCTGCCTACTTGTCCATATGTTTATACAAGTGAAATGTGTAGTCATCCTGAGAAACGGGTTCTCATGCTTTTTTTTTTTTTATATTGCCTTTTCTACTCCTGTGAATCATACCACATAGAAGAAAAGCAAGAAACTCCACAGGTTGGTGTGCTAGTGGTCAGTGGGTTGACTCTGGTTTGTATCCTTGTACCGAGCTTCAGAAATACTGTGTGGCAGTGGGAGCACCTTTCAGTCTCCCACGGTGTTCGTTCATCATATTCAAACAGCAATAGTAGGGAAGCGAGGAGAAATGTACCAGGGACTTATAACACTGAAATACTAGTAACATTGAAGAGATACAGCTGATGATGCTGGAGAGTGCTCTCTGTGGTAGTTCGGCAAGAGAACAGGATGTGAGAGGAGTTCTATGTAATCCTTTGGGGGCAGGCTCACCAAGATGAAAGAAAAACAAGATTTTGTGGTCAGTCCACTGTCTCTGTTGTGCATGCATACTGCAGAAGGGCTGAAACTTAAAGATGCTGGTTCTTTTGGTGGGAGTGGGGAGAGAAAAGTTAGAGTGGTCTTTGAATTTATTAGAATTTGTCCTCCTACTTTTTTTTTTTTGGTAGGGTGGGGAGGAACAGTAGTTTAAAACCAGTATATTAACTAACAAAAATAAAACAGAAAAAGGTAATCAATCTTTTCCTGCCAGAGCTCTTTATGGGGGGAACACACCAATGAGAAGATGGGGTGCCTAGTGAGAGAAAGGAAGAAACATTCTTAGTTCTTCCAGTAGTTGCCCATACTGGGCTGAAATTCTGATTGTAGAAATCTTAGGTTGCTTTATTCTCCTCCTGCAGAGGATTAGTGATGGCTTTGAGAGTAAATAGACCAAGGAATAAGGGCAAGGCTGGATGCATGATCCTGCAGAGTCTAGTATATGAACATGAGCTCTCTTAGCCCTGAAGGGACTGAGACCCTGAGCAATTTGAATTTGAAAGGGTGCTAGTTGTTTTTCTTTCTGGCTGGAGACCTGACTGATCTGGAAAACAGGAAATCACAAATTGCAAGTTAAGCACAGTATGAACACAGGAAGCACAGTAAAACTAAGATTCAGATATGGAATATCGCTGGCACAGCTGAGCTATTGCTAACCTAGGGCATGTCGTCGCTGGTACCTCTGAAATTTTGACCTGGCCTACAGTTTGTGAAGAGAATAAAGGAAGATGGATCTGCTCTGCGTATTCCCTTTGTCTGTAAGGTACTTAGCAAGAGCTAAACAGAGTTGCAGCTTTGCAAATGGTCTAATGTAAAAAGAGACTGTTGGTGGAGATGATGCGTGTTTGTGGTTGGTCTATTTGTCTACACGTTCAAAACTTGCTTAGCTGCTGCAGAGATGCGATTTAGGTGAGTACTACTTGCATGCAGTTGGTTGATGTGCACTGAGGAAACTCATCAGGAAAACTACAAATACCAGCTAAAGTCAGTGTGGTTTTCTGTTTAGTGGCTTTTCAATAAGGCAGCTAGGTTACCACAAAGAATCAGCAGTAATTCTAAGTTGGCCATCATTTGTTCTTCTGGCTCTTGTCTCTAAATTCATCTGCGTCACATGTCAGTTCTGTAGCGTTTAAACTCTACGTTGTGACCAAACAGCCATTCGTGACAACAGGTGGACACAATGAGGCTGTGTCTGTAAACGTGAAAGTAAGTTTCATTGGATGCCACCAACGTAATTGCATCCTGTAGGTGTCCTGGCCAGAAATGGCTCGAGGCAGTGATTTACAGAAGGATGAGGTAATCTGGTGGGTGTGGGAAAGGGTGAGGGGCAGCAGAGAGATGGTAAGTTAGTTAATTATTTCAGCTAGGAAGTGGAGGCCAAGATGGTCTGCTCTTTGGAGAGCACAACAGGACATCTTCCAGGGTAACAGGATTATGAGTGAGACTGTTAACCGAGTTTCAGGATGGTTTGTATTTATTGTTGTCTATCTAGGCATGCTTGCCAGATCTGAAAACTAAGGGGGCACATGGACTGTCAAAGTCTGGCTGCTAGAAAAGCCACATAAGGAGGGAATGCGATGACGTGGCTTTTCCTGGGACTAGGACAAAGCTAGTAAGTCTGGTTGAACTTGATTGCCCTCAAAACAGCTGAGGTTTGTGGGCACTTGTGCAAGAATGCCCCACACCTCACAAAGAGCTGCTCAAGGTCCAAGAGTTTAGGACCTTGGGTTCTGTGTTTTACCTTGTCTGTAATGTGATACTTCCTCATTTCCAAGCCCAACTTGCTGGTTGAGAGCCAGAGATCTGCCTGAGTCATACCCAAAGTAATGGTGCCCAAAAACCATACCCAAATGCTTGGATAGCTAACACGGCAGAAGATCAGGCCTGAGACATGCTTAAGTAACTTAGTCTGGGATCAGAAGGGTTTTGAGGGATGCAGGAAAGCCTAAACAACTCTTTGCAACTTGGGCACGTGAAATGCACCAACGCAGGGTAGTGCACCTAGCAAAGGTGATCCTGCAGTACCTCCCATTTCTGCCCTTACGGAAGCTGACACCTCACAGGAATACCATTAATATCTCATTGTGGCGATTAAGCAAATTGACTGCTCGATTTTGTGGCAAATGGAAAAGATATCCAGATGGATTACAGTTGGGAATAGAGACTTTTGTACAGTAACACCAACGAGACCTGGATTTTTAGGGAGCATGAAGGAGTGAGGTGGGTCTGAAACACCTGTGGTTCCTCTGAAATTTCAGGCATATAGTAGTAATCAGCTCTAGTCATACCTACTCAAAATAGAAGTTCAGAAACCATGAAGAGGCACAGTTATGTTTAGCAGCTTAGAAGGGGCAGTACATCATCATGGAAAGAGTAAACGTGAGGTCCCTTTTGCAATAGGACCAGTAATCCGTCTAAGGAAATCAGTATTAGAGAGCAGTGATCTGTGGGCTGCAGCTCTCTGGATTACGCAAAGAGGTAAATGAGAGAGTGAGGCTCAGGACTGTAATAGCTTCTATGCGTCAAGTAGCAGTAACTGCTCAGGGTCAAATATTCTCTCTTACTCCTCTTTTCATAGCTATTGGTGACATCTTTAAAATCCTTATGGTAAAAATGAGAGAGTCACACAAATTTAGCTTCAGTCCTGCATGAGCAAAGGTTGCTATTCATTAGTATTCAGGAAAATATCTTTCTGATTTACCTTATACCATAAGACATGGTATTTAAAGACTAGGATATGAGGTATTTGAAGTGGAGTGACTTCATTTTACATAACATGAATTAATTTCCTATTGCATATATATTAGGCATGGTTTTGTAAGAAAAGATTAATATATGCATAGGTGGTAACAGCATTTACTCTTGAAAAACAGTGCTGATAAAGGTGGGGAAGGATCTGCCCTGCATGCCATTTTTCTGCACAGCTGGACTGGTTGTGCTGTGGATGCTTGCTGCTTTTTCTTGAATGCTTTGGCATTGATGAGTTCCTGCCACATGTCACATTGGTGACTGAGGCATACTGGGACTTCCTTTTATGTCTGCTCAGCTGCTGAGTTAGAAATAGCCCCAGACAGCCCTGCAGATAGAAGATGCCTTGGCTTTACTGATTCATCATTGTCCTAGGAAACAAGAGATTGATACTATGAGTCTGAGGACTAGGTTTGTTTGGGAATGTGATTCTGGGCGCTAGGAATGTAACAGCAGAATTCCTCTCCTGAGACCTTTTTTTAGTTTTTTCTTTTGTAGAGCAGCTCAGGATCATCAGGCTTTATTGATCTGTAATCACAGATGAGCATCACAGAGCCAGCCATGCTGCAGCTGGCACTGAACAGAGAGCTGCCAAGAGGCCCAGGGAAGTGTGGAGCTCAATGGACCCAGACTCTGTAGTTCATTCTGCCTCTGCTGCAGTGTTTGTACTGTAATTTGGGACAGCAATTGCACCTTATGACAGAGAAGCTATCACAGATAAAGAAATCAGCCTAGCTATGGCAGGATAGACTTTGCTGCCAAAAACCCTGGACAGGTACAAAAGTAGATCTGTTCCACTCTCGTGTGATACTACTTGCATTTCTGTGTTGCCCTTGCCTTCGTTGAACAAGTTAAGCATGAGGCAGCAACCTGCCCTTGTGGCCAAGAAGACCAATGGGGTCCTGGGCTGCATTAGGAACAGTGTTGCCAGCAGGTCGAGGGAGGGCATCCGCCCCCTCTCCTCAGCCCTGGGGAGGCCTCACCTGGAGTCCTGTGTCCAGTTCTGGGCTCCCCAGTACAAGAGAGACATGGCGCTCCTGGAGAGAGTCCAGCGGAGGGCGACAAAGATGATGAGGGGACTGGAGCATCTCTCCTCTGAAGAAAGGCTGAGAGAGCTGGGACTGTTCAGCCTGGAGAAGAGAAGACTGAGAGGGGATCTGATCAATGCGTGTACAAGTATCTGAAGGGAGGGTGTCGAGAGGGTGGGGCCAGACTCTTCTCAGTGGTGCACAGCGACAGGATGAGAAGCAATGGGCACAAACTGAAACACGGAAAGTTCTGTCTGAACACGGGGAAAACTTCTTTCCTGTGAGGGTGACTAAGCAATGGAAGAGGCTGTCTCCTTCCTCGGAGATATTCAAAACCCTCCTGGACGCAATCCTGTGCAATGTGCTCTAGATGACCCTGCTTGAGCAGGGGGGTTGGATTAGATGATCTCCAGAGGTCCCTTCCAACCTTGTCTGTTTTGTGATTCTGTGATCCTTGGCTTCATTTGATTAAGACCAGATGGCCCACAAGTCTGACTCAAAGCTCCAGAAGAGCTGTTCTTCTTAATGTTAATAGCCTGGCAATCCTTGTTCAGATCCATCCACCGGTCAGAGAAACTAAGCATTCCTTTTGTATTTTTGCTTCTGAAAGAAGTATGGGAGCAGGAAAGAGGTCCCTAACAGTCAGGTGCGGACCATCCCCCCAGCTGTGGTGTTATAGACTTGTGATAAACCTCAGTGAACATGTGCTGAACTAGCCTGTCTGTGACAGACTCTGAGGTGACTGTGTATGACTTGAAATAGCACCAGAAGCCCTTCTAAACTTCCCCAGGATTAGTCAAAGGGATTGTGCCTATCATGTCATAGGCATACCTGTCATGTCATCACAGAATATGCAGTGGTGAAGAACAGCCCAAAGCAGAAGGAAACTCAGGAGACAAGAAAGGCTGATGGCACAGTGAGAAAGCCATGGCCAAATGTCTAAAGAGAAACAGTTGCTCTTTTAGGTACACATCTCACAGACCATTTATCTTGTGTCTCTATCAGGATTAGTTCTTTTAGACAATATTCTCTTGATGCTGTACTTTAGAGGATGATGTGAGGTAACTGGAATACAGTGACAGGCAGAGAACTTGGAATAAACAATCCCCTCCCCGCCACCATCCCATTCGGAGGAGCCTTGTATTGTGCTGTCTGGGCACTAATTAGATTCCCCTTTCCTACTGCTTCCTATAGTCCAGCTGCAGGCCTTATATGTGCATATTAGCAAACTGCAACTCTGACTCTCTTCTAGCTGAGTATTTCAGCAAAGTACATATGATGCACATGGTTTCCCAGCTATTGTGAAGTACTAATGCCTTGACCTACTTGCCAGTCTCTTGGAAGCAGTCAGCTGGGTTTCAGTGTTCCTGTTGCAAACGATGCATGACCCAACAATTAGCAAGAAGTAATGGTACTTTGGGTGATGCACATGACTGACATTTTTTAATGTCACGAACCTCTGAATTGGATCCTGTCTTTCTATTTAGCCTTATCTGTGGAAGGGAAGAATAATATATCCATATCCTTATCTAAAAATTCATAGAGCACTTTCCAGTTCTGATAGCACCTTCTTCTTCTTCCTGACAAATTTTTCAGTGGAAACTTCAGCTCAGCTGCATGGTTTCTGCTGCAACCCCGCCAGTGTCCCTGATGTTCGTTTTAGTGCGCAAACAGAGGCTTGCTGGGATTTTGAACACAAAACGCACAGAGGGAAGCTTACCTGAGAGGCAGGCTATGGACTGGTTGTGGATCATAGCTGGGTGGGACACAAAGCAGGTTGTACTATTCAGATTGGTGCCATTTCCCGTGAATGTGCTGAGAACAGTCACTGTCCCGTCACCATGGTCTTCTTCCTCAGGGCTGGAGTTGCTCTCTGGGACCCACCGGATCCGAGCAGCCGGCTTCCCTGCCACTGCCTTGCACACGGGGTTCCCACGGCTGTCACAGTACACGGTCAGCTCGGGGGGGACTGTGGAGCATTGGGAAGGGGAGACGCATGGAGTTAGTTTGCTGCAGTAGTGGTAGGGTGTTCTTATTCTTCTCCCGAAATGAACACAGTGAGAAGAGGAGAATAAGGTGGGAGGTGCCCTTTGGTCACAGCGACATGTGCCAAAGTCACAGAGACAAAGATCATGCATCTTTTTTCATCTTGGGCAACCGTCCCAGACTCGGGCAAGTTGCCACAGCCACGTACCATTCGAGAAGGTATCCCTGGACACGGATGTAGGGAATGATGCAAAATAGGGGGCTGAATTAGACTTTTGCCCTAAGTACGCGTGGCTTAAAATGGATTTGAACGCCAGCGCAGGAGGAAATGGGGCCGTTCTTAGCATCTGGGCAATACCATCCAGGGTTGGGAGAACATCACAGTAGCTGGAACTGTTACTCTGACACATTGCAGTTATCTTAAAGCAGCAGCATCTTAATAAATGACTTTACAAGATAACCAGATGGGTATGCGGAATCCTTCTTCAGTACGCTGGAAGTTTCTTCCTACCCGTCATTTCTAACTGTACAGTGGGAAAGGGGTCAGCAGAAGGGAAAAGCGTTTTGGTAAATCAGGAGAGGAGAGAAACGGAGGTACGAGGAATGAAATGCATTACAATTTGTCCCGGCTCTCCTGATAGATCACTGTCTGTGATTTTCTTCCTTACCTGATCCTAAAAAAACAAACAAACCAAACAACAGCAAAACATCAGAAACAAATTGAATGAATTTGCATTGTTAACGTAGGGTAGGGAGAAGAAAGGTTATAGATGCATTTTCAGACCCCATGTTTTTGGAGCTCGCTTTTGAAAGTGTTTAACTGAGCTTGGAAAGGGGAAAGAACTTTCCCCATTAAATCTTAAAATTTTTCTTCTGAATCTAATGTCATTAAATCCCAGTATAGTTTATTTGACAGGACCAGCCACTGAGACCAGAGTAACACATGACAGGGTGCTCAAGCTGATCAAAGAACCTCCCACTGAGCATGTTTTTCAGTGAACACTGAGGTTTTTTAATGAGTCCTACTCCAAGAAAATTACTACTAGCTCTCATAAAATCATCAAAAAGCCCAAACCTAGCACCTTCTTGGCTTACAGCTAGAAATGTTTTGCTTTTCAGGTTATTGATTTTTTTTCCATCAAATATTCCCTTCAGAAATTTCTAAAGGTTCCTCGTCCTATATTTTCTTTTCCCCGAAAGAGCTCACAGAAGAATTGAGAAGACATTGCTCTGACATATTCCCCCTTCCTCCATCCCTGACAGACAGACGCTTGGTGCCAAAAGCCACCTGTGGCTCCTGTGACAGCAGTGATGGCAAGCAGAAAAACAGTGTACGTGGTCTTCCCACCAATTTTCGAAGCAGCTCTGCGTTCATGGGTGATGCAGGTTTCTTGCACCAGCCAGCTTGCTGTAAGCTCCCTGCCATCCCCTGACAGTAGTCCTCAGCAGCCAGAGTCGCTGCTCCTCCTTTACTTCTGTGCTCCTGTGTGCTCCCAGCTGCAGCTACAGAGTTGGTTCTTGCTTTTCATGCACTAAACTTCCTGTGCTGAGAACTGATGAACACAGAGGAAATGGTATTGGCATTTGCTTTCTGCCTGTTGACCTTCTGTATCTGATCTCACAGTGAGAATTTTATCATTGGCAATTGGGGAAAGATTATTCTTATCTTACTGCTTAAAGGATACTCGGCATATTCCCCAAAATACTCTTACAACCCATCCCTGTTGCCCTCATCTTATAATTCCTCAAATATCTAACAGCCTAAGACCTTTCCTCTAAAAGGCATTGGCAGTCACTTCTTCCCTGCAGGAAGGGAGGTAAGCAGGTACGTTTGCATTGCAGAAACTCTGTTGCTTTGATTAAAAATATATCTACACCGCTGGGGTGTTGTAGCTTTTTGTACCATTTGTTTTGTTTGTTTTTTCAAACTGTTTGGGGATTATATTACTGCCACGCATAGACAAATGAACCCCGAAGGTCAGTGGTGAGCTGTGTGACTTTGTTTAGAGCTAGCAGATCTCCTTACCTTTTACGAGGTCTACTTCTCTCTGCTATCCTTAAAGTCTTTTTCTCCAGGCTACTACTGTGAATCTACCCATGTGATTAACAGTGCTGTCTTCTACAAGCTATATTTTCTATATTTCTATATTTTCCCTAGATATAAGATGAACACCTCGGGAAGTTAATGCACGGAAGTTAACTTTATCAGAAAAATGTTAGCCTCCCTAAACTTTGAAGCCACCCAGCTGAAATGAGTTGGTGCCTACTTGCCTGTTCTTAGGAGGCAAAACTGTGCCCCCAAAACTAGAGTCACAGCTCATTTATGTATTTCCTTGGCTGTGCTGAAATGGTGGAAGGGCTTCAGTTCTTTGGTCAAACAGATGCAAGACATCCACTAAGCGAGGGAAGCATCAGCATGCAGGCAACCATCCACCCGAAATACTAGGCACAAGTTTACTGAGAAGAGGCATAACATCCAGTGGTGCTTAAAGGTAAAGCCAAGTAAGTTGAAACAGAAAATTAAGCCCCCTGTGTTCACTGTTCTTATATCCAGAGAAGCCAGCAGCAGTGATAGAATGAAATCTTTGTCTCTTCTGGGTGCTGTTGCTGTAGTTTGACTTTCCAAAAGTCACTTTGTGACAATTTCAGCCAGCTACACGGTCTTTGGTAAATGCAGCTTGTGCTTCAATGCTGTGTCATTTGGTGGTCAGGTGCAACAAGTATCGCTCATGCTTGGAGAAAGGTCCAAGATGCAAAGGTCACATTTAATTCTGACGTGGAAATCCCTGCAGTGCAGGGCATACCATACTGTAGCTTCAGCCATAAAATCTGTGGGTAACATAACTCGCCAGTAAATAGCGGAGGCAGCAAGATACAAGGGTCCAAGTCATCAAAATCGGAAGCTTTCAGGTTCTTAATCATTTGGAGTTTAACAGGAGCAAGGCACCCAAGCACTTGGAAGGATCTCTGGGTCCTTTTAGCAGCTAAAACAGGAGAACTACTGAGAAAGGGAAAGGGAGAATTTCCCACAGCATGTGGTGCAACCTAGTTCAGTTATCCTTGGGGTGAGGCCTCTCCCCCTTCCCCAAAGGTATTAGCGCAATACAGTCTAGAGGAAGCACTTGAAGATTCTGCTTGCTCTGTGATACTGAAAGTGTTTGCTGCAAAATAATCACTTTCACGTTTCTTTAATTAGCCTTTTGGCTTCTGAGCCTTTGGATTGCAGTCTGGACACAGTCCAGCAACTTACTGTGTGATTCTGAAGAGAGAAAAAGTGGGATTTGGAAAGTTGTATTTGGAAAGAGGATGTTTTTGTGTGTGTGTGGGGGGGGGGGGTTTGTTTTGGGTTTTTTTGGAAGCCAAAACTCTCAATCTGCCTCTAGAGCTAGAGCCAACCACCAGACAGCATGGTAATACTGTGGCAACAGCATCACTGTTGTGTCCCAGGCAGATGCTTCACGTACCTGAGTTTCTGGACCTGGTTATTGATGTGTTTTCTTATCCACCCCCAGTGTAACTCTGGAGCTGGATTTAAATGCTGTAGCTCTTCCAGGTTTGACTGTTTCCTCCTTCTCCTCAGATCAGAAGACAACTGTGTTTTGAGATCTTGTTTTACTTGAAATAGCAGAGTACCAGGAGTGACATCCTGTTTCCCTTGTGCGATTCCTCCCTTGATACCTTCCTGATTTTTAAGCCACTCTGTAGCAACCTGGTTAAGGAGCTCTATCAACATATATGTCATTCCTCTAGTACAGGGAGAAAGAGTCTTATCCTCCTTCCTCTTCATCTAATTACTGATGTACAAATGCTGGGTTTATCCATCCTCCTGGGTCTTTCAGAGCACGCTGCTAAGTAGTTGCTCACCGGTTATTCGTGGCTCAGCCTCCAGGACAGCCAGTTTTACTAATATTTGTTTAGTGCTGCTGCTTTTGTGCTATCCCACTATACTGGGTTTTGTAAGGGCACACACCCTAGCTAGGCTTTTATTTCCACCTCGTGGTCAAAGCAAGCAACTACGCTCACCTCCGTCCTCTGAAAAGTGCTTTTTTATTGGAAAAGATTTTATCCGGTTCAAAGCAAAACACTTTAGTTCACTCTCAGGAATATCCTTGATACTTTCTAATATTGGTGCGTTGCGTTCTGGTTAATCTTTAAATGGCGTGTTGTTTGTAATTCCTGAGCCAGGACATTTCCTTTAGGGGGCAAGGAGGAAAACATTTGCTTAGACGAGCAGGTTGCTGTCTGCCCTCTTTGTGGAGGACAGAAGGTTCCTCCCTGTATCTTCATAACTCAGCTCAATACAATAGGACACAGGACAACAGTACATAGGACATAGCCTGTGTTACCTTCTCATGGTCCTTCCTGACCTTAAATCTATTCATTGCGATAATTAAGCCATCCAGACCTGCCTGGCTTTAAATGCAGGACTGTGACCACAGTAGGAAAAAGGGGCCTCTGTCTCAAAGGAAAGGCAGCTTTTCGCACGGCGCTGCCTGCTTGGCTGGGCATAAGGTCTAGCGTTGGCATGGCTGCGGGAAAACAGTGAGCATCTCCGCGGAGCCTGGACGCGTCGTGGGACAGCGCTGCTTTGCCCTGTTCCACAGCTAAACAGGACTGCAGCATGCACGGCCCTTAGCAGCTCGGTGATTTTCACGTGTGTGTTTCTGTTCTGTAACGAATCTAAGAAGCGCAGGAAGCAAAAATAAAAAAACGAGGCTCGGAAAAACCTGCCGCTCCCTGGAGGTCCTTCGCAGACTGCCGCTTTGGCAACAGCGCACCGGCCAAC